CATAAAGATTTATTGCAGCTAATAATGGAATAAATCCATTCAATTCTTAAAATTTATAGGACTACCAGGATTGGTTAACCATATCCTTCCCATATATGCATTTCTTCTAACAGCTTTTCCCAACATCAATTACCAAAATTCTTGCAGTGACCTTGCTGCAGTGGTGAAATTCAATTTGTTTTACTACTGGNATTATCCTCCAAGTAGCAACCCATTAACCAAAAGGTCCATAATTATTTGGAGACGATGGGGAGTGTCAAGTATCACAAATTGGTTTGCAGAAAACGTAGCCAGAAAACACTATTCCAGAAGATGCAAGAGAAGAAATCTTAGCCACCTTTTTTAGTCTCAGCAACCCATTGATTAAAAAAAAAATTTTTGGGAATGCCTCAGATGAATGATGTTTGAGACACGCATACTATTTGGCAGCAAGCTAGATTCCTGGAATTATTAAGCATATTAGCAGAAATAACAATAATAATATTCAAAATCCATTTGTGGACAATTTCATGTGATAAGCTTAACAGTATTTGCTGCCATTTGTCATCATCCAGATTTTTAAAGCTAGGCAAGATAGGGAAAGTTTTAAGCATATTTTGGAAGAAGTGGAACACAAAGTGGACAAGATCCTTATGATGGTGAGTTTGGCCACCAGTCAATTAAGTATATAGCTCTCATGGTTGGTGAAAGCCTTCTGGGAGAACCTATGGTGGGGTTCTAGTGGTGGTTAATTCTTCCTTGAGGGAGGCATTCATTGCTCATCTTCTAAGAAGGCATTTGTTCCTCCCCATTCCAAGAAACCATGACTAAACCCAACTATACTGAGTAATTTTCTCTCCATATCTTCCTGTTTTAGGGAAGTTTGTGGAGAAGGTGATCATGCAACAGGTTTGGAGAGAGTCTGGATGAATTGGATTATTTAAACTGTTTCAGTTGGGTTTCAGGCTTGAGACTGATTGGTTGGTCTTTTGGATGATGTCTCACATGAGCTGGATGCAAGTAGTGCATTCATCCTTCTCAGGCATAAACAACCAAATCCATATGTGCAGAATTCAAGCTATTTTGTTCTGCCTATAATACAGGAATCTCCCCAGACTGGCAGTCTTTTCCTGGAAATAGTTAAGGCTCCAAGGAATTTGGTTTATAGGTCAGTCCTAGACCTTTTGTGGTTGTGCAATGCCTCCAGACTAACTCCATGCTTCAGCCCTCCTCTCTCCCACATTGGGTGTTTTCAGACAATCCCAAGAAACCATATCCTTCTGGACCAGTTTTGAGAATTGGGGGTTGGCGGCACTGCTTCTGCTGGTTCTCCTCCTTCCTTTGGCTTTGGTGTTGATCAGGAAGGTCCTATCTTCAGCCTCTGCATTGTGAGGTTCCTTAGGGTTTTGGTACTTTATCCGGTACTGTTTAACCTCTATATGAAACAGCTGGGTCAGGTCATACATTGCCATGAGGTGAGACATCTTCAGTATGTTGTTATCCAGGTTTGTAACTCTTATCCTTGGCAAATTAAGCAGTGATGTTGGGGTCCTGTTCTGGTGTCTCAAGGCAGTAGGGTTCTGAATAGGGAACAACTAGCTTTGACTCAACCCTAGCAAGACATAGCAACTTTGTTTCTGAATGGGGTGGAATTCTTGAAAAACATGTGGAAGTTGCAGTTGGTATAGAATTTGACAACATGGGCAATCATGTGTATTCCTCAATCAGTACACATTATACCTCTGTTCTGCAATCCGTATTGGCTGACAGTATTTTCTTCAAGATGCTCGTTTTGACTTATATGACTCCATATACATGATTCTGGTTTGAATAATGCCTCTTCCCATCTCATCAGGACCAGCAGAAGAAATATATTATGGATGCCATCTATGAAAAAGTGTCATCTGGCAGGACCTAAGAAGAGACCCTTTTCTGGCATGGTCACAACCCGCTAAGGGTATAAAGATATGGCTCTGCTGCTTTGTCTAGCGTCTGGCAATAGTGAGGAATTTTTGCAATGACTAAGTCATGTAAAATGAAATCTGCCACTGCTTTTAATTCTGTTTTTAAAATTGCATATAGTTTTTATATGTTTATATATATTTGTTTTTAATTATTTTTATTAGATTGTTTTTACCCGTTTTGAGTCACACAGTCACTTGGGTAAAATAGGCAGAAATGTAACTCAAGAAATATTATTAATTATTCATTCTTGAACATAAATGCCACACTGTATGCAAAAACTTTTGAGAGGATTCAATTTTAAAATCCTTGTACAATCAAATTATCTCAACTTGAAAACACAATGCAACTAAAAATCCAGAAAATATAGCTTTGCAAAGATTCCTTTATTGTTGTTAACAAAGGAGATCACAGAATAACAAATATTGATAAAATCTTGGGTGAAGTAACATCAAAGTTACAGTGCCTATTGGTGTTACTTTTCAAATGAAAGCCACAGTAATAAAGGGATCAGCAATCATTCACTATCAAAGTGTCATAAAATAATAGCCAAACTTCCAATTTTCAAGTAACAAAAACAATTCAATGGTAGAACAACACCAAATTTCCCAAGCAAGATCCTGCCAATAGTTCCATATTTATCACTAAATTTGAAATATTGAAATATTTTAAGCTATGTGGGGATATGGCATAGTTACCTATTCAACTATTTAACAAATATGGTAGAGTACAAGCAGATTATTATTCTGCACAATAAATTTGAAAACTATTTACCTCAACACAAAACAAACTTGCTGAAGTCAATGGCCAGATTTTGTATTGTAATTAAGAGTCTAAAACTTTCACAGGTCATTGCATCGTGACAAAAAACTAGGATGAAATGGAAGGGATGTTGCAAAAGTGTAAGAGCCCAGAAATGGACTCTATTGTTCAGACAAAAATGAAACAGAGTTCAAAGTTTTGAGTTGATTCAAATAGTTTTCAAATGGCTATGAA